GAGAGAGAGAGAGAGGAGAACAGATGGATGGAGTGAGTAGAGGAAGGGTAAAGTTCACAATGAGATCCGTGTCCGTCTCATGCTACTTTTCCTGTCCACAGAGAGAATGAGAGAGGAGAAAGAAGGAGGAGGAAGAGAATAATTCCAAGTGCTGAATCTTTTCTTTTCATATCTCATTCCTGAGTCACCACTTCATCTGTCCACCTACCCCTAGCTCTCCTTTCCTCTCCCTCTCTCTGTCTCCATCCTCTCTGTCTCTCTACCCCTCTCTCTCATCCGTCCCTCCTTCAACGCTCTCTCTCCTCTTTCTAGGAGCATCTCTTGTTTGTTCATGCACCCAAATGTCTGCAACATCCTGCTCTCTATTTACAGAGCATGTGGGATGAAATGTGTTTGTGTGTGTGTGTGTGTTTGTGTGTGTGCGTCAGCTTTGTACTTGTGTAACTGTGTATACGTATGTACATGTATGTGGGTTCATTGGAGGTTTTTTTTGACATGTCCAACATTGCATAAATGTTGGAATATTGATCTGTGCTGTGTTGCATTTCTTTGTGTAATCCAATTTTAACCTTACTTTTATTGATAGAGACCACAGCGTTAAAAGGTACTTCCATATATGTGAATCAATGAGTCAACTAGTCAGTCAGATAATTGGTTAATCAATTGGTTAATCAATCAGATAATTTTTATTTCACCTTGCAAAGGGCATTCACCGAGGAAGTCATTAGAAAGGGCAGAAGTGCATATTATAAAGCCTTTACTTCCTGGATTTAAAGTTTTAGACTTTCTTTGTGAAAAGCTGCATTGGCTTCAGAGCGGTTTATTTAAGACACTCTGGGACTCAACATTTCAGTAGATTTAGGTCTAAACCTGGATTTCAAGGTGATGAATCTTATTGCTATGCACCTGCTGTTATATCTGTATCCATCTGTCCATCTGTATTCGCTTTCATGATTCACCCAAATAATAAGAGGAAATTCTTTGCCCATGTTTCTTATGCAGTCTCGCCACAGGCCCGGTAGTTTTCATGTGCTTAGTAGAGTTTTTGAAGGTATGTTTTTATATAATTGTGTGCATCCAGAACACCTTGAAACACAATGTAGCATAGTCCTTTATGGAGGGCTCTCCTATAAACTGACAGGGTCACTAAGTTGGTCCAAGTATCAATGTCCTATACAATAACATTGAATAAGACCCACTGGAAAACTATTAAAGCTATATAGAGGCAAACTGCTCATCCCTTTGTCTTAATTATCCATTCCCTGGGCTGTCGTCATTAAGGCAAGCCAGACACTGGGACATATTTGGCATTATATTTTTAATGCTACAACAACCGGTTCAGCAAAAAACCACCACAGATTATTCACAGCGTGTGTCTTGGCTTGGTTCCATATACTGTGACACATTATTATATTTCAACCCTCCCTTTCTCCCCACCCCACTTCCTCCTTCATTTCCCCCCTCCTCATCTCCTCCCCTTCCTCTTCCCTCTCCTCTTCCCTTCCTTCATCCTCTCTTTTCCTTCTTCAGATGTTTTTCTGGTCCTCTCTGGACTGAAAAAGCACCTTCATACATGTTCTGTCGATTCGCTTGCGAGGTCTGTATTGCCGTGTGTGTGCGTGCCGTTCAAGTGGGGCTGACGGTGCATTGTATGTGTGCCAGTTGTTTGTGTGCCTCTCCGTGTGCAGCAGGAAATTCAAAAACTAGGCCATATCGACCACCCAGGGGTTTGAAAGCTCAGGGGGTACCAAAGCAACATGGTTTAAATAAGGAAAAAAAAGCATTTCAAACGCCATAAAGGGGGAAAAAAGACAACCCATATGCACATTCTTACACACACAAGCAGACATGCACACACACACATACACACACACACACACACACACAGAGACAGGCACCCCTCCCATCTGATAAACCTCTGGCTCACAATGTGTTCAAAGACATCAAACACTTAATCATACACATATCTAAATAAATCTTATCCAGCTTGATAAACATCCATGTTTCATTTATACGGTCCTCCTCCAGCTAGCGTTGGTGGCCAGCCATTTTCCCATAGATTAGGACTTCCCCTGCTGACAGCCCTAGAGCGATGAGCTGCAGACCTTGTCAGTATCGATCCACTTCAGAGCATAATGGATATGAATGGGATCAGCTCTGATTGGTTTTGAATTTTATCTCAGAGGCGGCGGTTTAACTCACCCCTTTGACCACATCGGTGGCTGAATGGGTTAAAGCAAAAAGTGTGTTTTGTAGTTGTGCGCTGGGTTTGATAGTGCTTTTATTGATAGGACACGATTTAACTACTGTGAGGAACAAGAGAACATGAATTCATTTTTCCAGCATAAATCACTTTTTCAGACTTTTTTAAAGCTTAAATGTTTGAGAAAGCAAAATAAACTCCCACGAGACTATTACTTCTTGTCTGTGTGCAAGAGGGTGAAATAGGGGTGGGGGTGGGATTTAGATGTTTCTCTTTCAAGATGACTGGGAATATCAATAATGCCATTAATATTAGCCTATATCCTCTTGTGCCACTATAGGTCACCACCTTCCAATTGTGTCTCCATTTAGACATTGACTATGTCATTTTACTGTTGACCTTAGGCTTTGACACAGCAGAAAATAGCAACCAAATGTAACCTCACACCAGAAGGTCAAGTGACCCTGATGGATTTTGGAGGTTTAAGAAAATATTTATGAGGAAGGGGAGGCAGCAACTAAACACACTGAGTCATCTTGAGGATTGTGGCCTCTAAGCTGTTCTTGTGAAATACACTGTTAGTTATATAACACTTTTGTTCACCCCAGTGTCTACTACCCATGCTTCTACTGCTACTGATTCACTATTAGTATTAAAGGCGCAACCAGTGAAATGAAGCAGTACAGAAACAGTAGCAGAAGACCGGACCATCACAGATTATAATTTTGTAAAAGAGAATTTGTATTGTTACACAGACACACAGTAAAAGCACAATGATTCTGGTAGCTGATTCATTAATTGTTTATTGTGTTTGCTGAATACATTTTAACACTCAGACCACAGTGTTGACAACAATGCGTGTCAAGGAACTGTTAAATTAATGTTACTGTGCATTACTGACGGTAACACCTCTTGACTCACTTGATTTTTCTCACTTTCTATCTGCTCACCTTAAGGTTATTTTTTTACACTGGAAAAAACATCTCCACTGACTACAAACAGTGACACATACCACACTGCTCCAGCTGAGAGTAAAAGCTAAAATTAGCATTACATACATTCAAAGTGT